GATTTGAAGAATTTGTAGCTTGGTTTAAGGACCCTTTGAATTTGTTTAAATAGAGTTGTCTTTTTTCTATTTTAGGAGTGTCTTCAATGATATCAAGAAGAAGGTTTTGATCCTTTGTTAAAACATTGATCGTAGGACCTCATTCTTCTTTATCACTAGTGGTTTGGGAGGAAGAAGAGCTAGAAATATCATCTTCTAGTTGATTGATATAATCTTCTTCTCTTTCAGAGTCATCAGTCTCTGATTCGAGCAGAAGATTTGATATTAGGGCTTTAATCTGGTCTTCCAGTACTAATCCTTTGGTTGAGTTTACAGTATCGGGCTATATGTCCGGGTTTGTGGCATTTGTGACAGATAATTGGTGATGGAGGCCCGGTGATTTGAGGTGGTTGTATGAGAGGTATTTGTTTATTGGGCTGGTATCTCTTTTGTAATAAGAGGGTTTTTCAAGGTGTTTTGTGGCCTTGGGCCGTTTGTGAGGTTTTTTGTAACAGTTAGGTTGTCCAAACTATTCACAGAAGGATTTAAGATCTTTTCTCCTTTGGGCTCGATCCTTTGCAAGTTGTTTGAGCATTTTGTCTTGTCGGCATACTTTGAGTGCAACTTGTTGAATCTAACTGGTTAACTGTCCATAGGTTATTGCTTCCCATGGTACAGTCTCATTGTATCGAGCCCTTAATTCTTCTCGAACTAAGTCTCATAGTGATTTTGGAAGGCCATCAAGGAATTTTTCCTTCCAATAGTCCTTGTTGCCGTCTGTTCTTAAGTATATTCTGGTTAAGAATGTGTCCTTATACCATCAGAAGTCTAAGAGACTCTTGCACTTGAGATTGTTTAATAATTTTGATGATTTTTCTCTGAATATTCCTGGATCACCAACGAATGTCTTTGCAATAGTGAATATTAAGATTGCCACCGTATCTGAGATGGTGTCTCCATCTTGAGGAATTGGTTCACCATTGGTATCCACTTTGATGGCATTGAGGATGTTATCTTTGTCTTCTGAGGTGAGATGTTCATCCCACCATCCTTTTAGTTGCCCGGTAAATCATGTTATTAGGATATGGCAGCTAATTGGTCAGTACAGCCATGTGATGTCCGATAGGCTGTTGCCACCATTGTCATTTGTTGAAGGATTGTAAGGATATTATATTCAGAAACTCCATCTATGCTCCATTCATATATGTTGTTAGCATTATATGAATTTTGCAAGATATTGAGTTTTTCTTCAAGAAGGATGTCTGGATATGTGGCTCTGGAATAGTATAATTTTTGTGGATTTTTCCAATTGGTAATTTGCGAAGAAGAAGGTTGATGTAGTTTGTTTAGGGTCATAGATTCTTGAGGTTCTTCTTTGGTTATTATGCAAGCTGTTTGACTAACACTTGCAGAACCTTGGTTATTTGACCCTTGATTGGATATTGGGGTAGAAAAAGTTTGTTCTATTTTGGCTATTTGTTTTTCTAATTGGGTTAAGGGTTTGTTTTGAAATTCTTTATGAAATTTGGTTGGTATTTCATGAGGTTTGAAAATTGGGTTTGATGAAGAAGTGGTTATGGAAGGAGTTTTGGGAATAGGTCGGGTTAGGAGATATTTTCCAAGTGTTTGGAGGCAATTGTTGGTGTAGTTATTTTGCTCGTAGATTCCTTGGATATCCTTGCTATTGATTGCTCCTTCATCCTGGGCATTTTTGAGCTTGAATGGTTTAGCATTAATCTCTGTTGATTTGTATGAGAAAGTGATTGACGTTGATGGTGGGAGTTCTGCTTGGATCTCTTCTTCAGCTGTCTGCCACCTTTTTTATTACGTTTGCTGTCTGGGAGAAGGGATAATCAATTCCCTTTTTCCGGGAATACACTTCAAACCAGTCGAAGAATTGAACATGCTGTCTGGTTTTTGTCAGAAATCCGTAGAATTCTTCTGGTATTTTTTGTCGAGAATGACCCTTGTATTCCTTAAAGAACCATATTCTTTTTGAGTGATTGTGTTCCGCATAAAATGCTGTTCTGAGATTTTGTTTGTCAATTTGATAATCCATAGAAATCACCCTTAACTCATCAAGTTGAGGATGATTGTCTGTTATGGAAGAATATGTAGGAGATCTAGGAAGTCCTTCTTGTTCCACATCATCAGAGGATTCATCTTGACCTCGGGGTAAGTCTACTGGCTGCATACCTTGCCTGTGAAATTTTAGAAGAAAGATCTAGATCTTGTAATTTGGTTGAGATAGAAGAAGTCAGTGGCCTGTCTGAAACTGATCTTCTTCTTCTTGTTGAGTATCTAGGCATATCCATGCCAGTTGTTGATGAAGATGATGCCCTGAAACTCATAGATCTGTCAAATTTGATTTGGACAGCTCCAGAAGCAAATTGTTGGATGCTCGAAATTGTTGTATTTTGTATAGGGTCTGTTGGAGCTACTTCAGGAAGAAACCAGCTGTCTGGCAATGAGATCAGGTTCCAGGTGATAGATCTTGGAACTATAATCCGAGATCTAGCCAGATCTGTTTGGAATAGGACTGTCTCACCCTTTTGTAATGTTTTTAGGGCTCCTGTCCTGAATGCTGAATTCATGGTATTGAATTCTATAAATAATAGCAACAGGAAGAGTTCCAGTTTTGACTCTATAGTTAGCAGTTTTTATGTTTAATGTTAAAGCATCTAGATTGTTTTTGTCTTTTAAAGAGACTGTAAAATTTGAAAAACAACCAAAATATACTGGTCCTCCACAAAGACTAATTTCTACCATTCCTAGGAGGGAATCATTGATTCTAAGAATCTGCTATCTCTAAGACAAAGGAGTAGGGATGTGTTTAGTCCTTCTCTTGTCAAAGGTTTGTCTGCAATCTGTACTAATCCAAAATGAATATAGTTGTATTTTTCTTTATGTTTTTCTATTGTTCTTTTGGATAATAGATTGATTTCCTCATGATCAGCATTTAAGGCTATAGTTTTTTCTACGGTTTTAATTGTATAATCTGAGGTAGAAAACATCCATTTTCTGTCTTTTTCATAAATATCAGTTTGAGTATATTTGAAAATTTCCCAATTGTCTATATCTTGATTGATGTCTGCTATATGGATTTCTTCTTTTAGTTTGGTGTTTGAAGAAGAACTAGAAGAGGTAGAATTAGTTCTAAAAAAGGAAGCCATGAGTTAAAGAAAAGTAATAAGCTTAAATAAATATTTTATATTCCTCTTCCCTTTGGCACAGAATCCTTCGGGATCCATGGAGGATAACCATTTTTCTGAACTGATTATAACAGAGATAGTGAGGGAACTACAAGAAAAGATCTATCATTTTGAGAAAGATTAACTATACATGACGACCATATTTCCATCATAATAAAGATAGTGATAAACCTACAATAATAGATCTAACCTTTTGAGAATGATTAACTATGCATGACGACTATATTTCCAAACAAAATTGTAAGATTGATAGTAAAAACCCATGAACCCTAGATCTGATCCTTTGGCACTTCACCGTCTTGGATCTCAGACCACAAGAACCCCAACATCCCTACAGGACTGCCAAATCACATGGCTCAGCCTGGACCGGAAGTTGGCAATTACAGTGATGCGAATGACCAAGCTGCCTATGGTGATCAAGCAGACCCTGTGAGGGTGCCCCAAGGCCCAGTGACACGTGCATGAGCTAAGAGATTCAAAGAGTCACTTCAAGCCCTAGTTCATGCTGTTCAAACTCAAGAGCAACCGTGCATTGAAGGAATTGACAAGACGGATCCTTGCAAGACTACCAAGATAATGCTAACAATCGAGGAGGCAAGTGATCAGGCTTCCAATGGCAGATTGGGTTAGGTTGATTTGCTCATGTTGAGCTTAGAGGCTGGCCGTGTGGGCCTTAGCCTAGTAGGCCCTTCGTGAGTTAGTTAGTTAGTTCGTTAACTACGTTAGTTTCGGCCCAAAGGACAAGCAAGTGCTGGCCGAATTTCCTTTGGTAGTTTCCAACTTTATTAGGTTTAGACAAAGGCTATAAATAGCCCCAAGTTGATGTTTACATTCAGTTTTTTCGACATTAATACAAAAATTCCAGAATTTCGTCTTCCATTGAAGCAAATTCCTTTAGCTTGTGAAACCTAGATTGAACTCTCTAGAGTTGATCCTAGGTTGTTTCCCTGACTTATCAATCAAGCACGCACCCTTAATTATGGCGTCTTCAACCATCGAATTCAAGCTTGAGTGGTCCAAGATTGGAGGTCGAGTCCATCAAATCGCAACATGTCCTCTAAGGTCTAGGGTTTTGCTTCCGCGTGTCGTCTCCTTGGTTCCCTTGAATCGAGGATCACATCATCTGGTATCAGAGCTAGTTAGAGGTATCACGTATATCCCTTTTTATTGTTTTTGAGTCTGTTTTGTTCCTCATATTCGTAGCTACGTGTTTGGGTGTCAAGTTCGAAATCTGTCTTTATGAGTACCAAAGAGTGATACCTTTATGTTAAGTCGATATCTCGAGTAATATTAGGATAAGCCTGGATGGCGAAAGCCAAGGCACAAGGGATGCGAATAGTCTGAACTTGTGATAAATTGAAGATATTAGTGAGATTGAGGACCTTTATTATTCATGTGTACGTACTTGGTTGTACTTCCTCACGTTTTGGATAAGTATAGTGTTAGAGCAATACCTAGGGTTAATGTCCCATAGGACATGTGAATTGCTATGTTATGTATATAAAGAGAGTATGTTATTATCAATGTGTTCTATCATTTTTCGTTTTATGATTTGAAAATGCTTTTTTCAAACTTTATAGCTACTTTATTTTGCTTATACTTATATAGGCTATTGTTCAAAAGAGGTATGGAGGGTAGACGGAGTCAAGGACGTGGTGCTACTCGAGGGCGCGGTTCTAGTCGTAGCCGTGGGGGTAGACAGGCATAGGAACCGATGCAAGAACCAAGAGAGGAAAGAGGTGAACCAGTTGAACCGCAACCTGGACCCCGAGCAGAAGGGGGGATCAGGTGGCAACGGCGATTCAACAAATGACATATTTCCTTGCTCGTTTGGTAGAGCAACAGGGTCAAGCTCCTGTGAATCAACCTAGGGATCCTGAAATGGGACAAGATAGAGCCCTAGAGAGATTCCAAAAGTTTTCCCCTCGTAAGTTCCTGGGAGGACCGGACCCTGAGGTAGCGGAGAGATGGTTAGAAACCATGATCAACATATTCGCCACTTTAAACTATACAGAGGAAAGGCAGGTGCAATTTGCTATTTTTCAATTTGAGGGTCTATCCAGGGCTTGGCGGAATGTAGTTAGAGCTAAATGGGAGAGAGAGGGAACCGCATGGACCTGGTTGAATTTCGTGCGGGAGTTTAACGAAAAATATCTTCCACCGAGAGTCCAGGAGAAAAGGGAAGATGATTTTATTAAGCTTCGTCAGGGAACCCTAAGTGTATCTGAGTATGAAACTCAGTTCACTAAGCTATCGAAGTTTGCTCCCGAATTGATAGTTACGGAGCAAAGGAGGGTTAGGAGGTTTGTACAGGGACTCAATGTGAAAATACAGGAGGCATTTGCGGCAGCGTAAATTAATACGTTCACCGAGGTTCTTGAGAAAGCCCAGAGGATAGAAATTGCTAGGGCACAAGTAAGGGCTTTTCATACAAAAAGGAGGGGTGCACCTGCTGGAAGTCAGGAGCAGTTACATGGTGATCTAGGTAGGCCAGCCTCTAAGGTCAGTTGAGGAGCTGGTGGTGTACGGATCCCGGGGACACCTAAGGAAGTTACTCCGAGAAGTGCCTCACAAGTAGATCAAACCCCAACCCCTCACTTATCTTGTGGATATTGTGGGAAGACCAATCATACTGAGGATAATTGTTGGCGAAAGGCACAAAAATGTTTATGGTATGGTAGTGCTGAGCACCATCTTGCAACTTGCCCCCGTAGATCACACCTAAACCTTGAACAAGCCAATGTAGGAGGGACTAGACCAAGTGTGCCAGCTAGAGTGTATGCTTTGGACCAACGTGCAGTACCTGAACCATCGGAAGTAGAAGGTACGATTCATGTTTTCTATTGTTTAGCTAAATTTTGGCTATGGTGAGACTTGGGAGCTAGAAACGGACATGCAAGGAAAATATCCAGAGTTATTTATAAATACATGTATGAATTTCGAGGTCGAAATTCTTTTAAGGGGGAGAGAGTGTGACGACTGGAAAATTCGCTCATATTTTCTTAAAATTCCCTTTTATTTTGACTCAATTACTTTATAATAGTTTTACTACTCATTTACCTCCCCAATGGTTGGAATAAAAAATGGAATTAAGAGTTTTCCCTTTACTTTCATCATTAGGGTAAACTAGGGTTTTTATGTCTTTTGGTAGTGTGAATACTCGGTACTAAGTGTGTACTAAATTTGGTAGTTAAGAGTGAGTTTGAGATAAGAAAAAGTGTGTGATTAGAAGTAATAATAATAAGTTAGTGAATTGTAAGTAAAAACCTAGTACGTGCGAGTTAAGGAAAATAGGCTTGAACCGACGTGTACCGTTTGCTACCGATTGAAGATATCACTTGAATACTACTTTATTACCTTAATCACCTTGCTTTTATTTCAGCTAATCACCCCTAAAATATCCTATAAAACATCCACCATTTTTTACCAACAGAAAAGGAAGAAAGAAAAAAAAAACAAGAGGACCAATGGTGGCTTGACAAGTGTTGGCCAACCAAGTTTGACCAACAAATTTCCTATCTTCTTAACATTGTTTTGGATCAAAATTCCTGCACTTTTTTCTTCATTGTAGCCGTGAGTTTGGAGAGGGAAAAGAGAGGAGAGAAAACTCCATTTCCACCATAAAAACCTTGCTTGAATCTTGAGGAAAGTAAAGTGAAACTTGAATCCGCTCCGATTAATCTTTGGGAAAGCTTGGAAGTGAGCTTAGTGAAACTTTTGGGAGGAAGAAGTTCTTGTATCACAACTTATTTTGGGGGTTTTGAGGTATTATGGCCGTCTTCCTTTTTCTCTTCCTTAATCTTGTTTAAGTTTGGATAGAAACTCATATTTTTGGCTAATGATGGTTATTTAAGTAGTTTTGATTGATATGGTGGATTGTTGAGCTAGGGGTTGAGTTGTTTAGTTGTATTTCTTGTTGTTTATATAGCATATGATTTTGATAAGCTTGGATAGGGATTTGGGGTAGTGATTCAAGACATGAATGAGAATTTTAAACCTTGAATCATCAAATTTCCAGCTTTAAGGTTGAAACTGTCCTGCTTCTGACCTGTTTAATTCGTCCCTGTTAGAGGCCGAATTAGACTTAGATCAAAACATGAAAGTTGTAGGAAATGGTGTTATATAGTTTCCTGTAAAATTTCAACTCAATCAGACTACTGTAGCATGTGATATGATAAAAATACCCTTGACTGCCAAATGTACTATTTTGCGGACAGTTTTGAGATTTCACATTTTTGGCTTCATTTTTCACTTTGATCTGCATCAAATCATCCTTTGGTCAAAACATGAAAATATTAGCCCTATGTTTCAGCTTTGCAACGCATCTGAAAATACCTCAATCGGAATTTTGTAGTTTGAGTTATTGTCATTCAAATCCAATGCTGACAACCAGACTGACATTGAAATTCTAGTTCTGTAATCTGCAAAGTCGACCTGGATCAAATGTCGACTGGGTTGACTTGTCTTCATGAAAGTTGTAATACTTTGTCTTAGCTTCGAAAGGGTATAAAAAGTACCCCAATCCGATAAACGTAGCTCCAGCTGTGACCAAAATGCTATAAGATGTCAAATCTGCTGTTTAGCCTTTTGTCTTCAAAACTGATTTCCGATTGTATTATTAGACTTGTGTTATAATTGGATGATTTTGGAGCCTAATTGTGACTTTGGGGCTGATCTGAGAAAAATAATGAAGCCATAAATGACTGAAAAATAGGTAAATACAAAGGGCGTGCTGCCCAAATTTTCATTCGAGAACTAGACGTGTGCACTTGTAGTTTGAGCGAAGAGTTGGGGTTGAATTGAGCTTGAATTGCCTAGATTATTCAAGTCCTCTTTCATGGAGGTATGTAAGCTAGAATTCGGCCGAAACTTGTACCCTTGGAAAAATGAAAATAACGACTAATAGCAATACGTTTTTCTCGTCTCTTCGACTCAAATGGTGATTTCAAAGTTTAATCGCTTTCAAAGTTTCAAAATTTTAAGAGCGAGCATGAGTTTTCTAGGATATGATAAGTAATATGAATATTCCCCAAATGAGTTTCAATTACTTGATTTTCGTTAAAAAAAAATGTTTAAGTGTCGAACCTTAGTTGATTTTCAAAGCTCTTAAACGATGTTTTATTGCAGATTTGGACTCCCAACAAGGAATAATACTTGAACGTGACCCGTAAAGGCACTACATCTTTGGTGAGTGCTTCCAAATACCTGATTGAACTTAACACTTGTTTTCAATACTTGACTAATGTGATCGGATGATATTTGATTGGTATGGTCGAGTAAGGGTGTACTTTATTGCACTTGCTCTAATGTGATATGTGCGTGTTTATTGGTGCAATTGACTTGATATACTTGTGCTTGATTTGTAAGTGCTGGAGCGGCAGCACTCAATCCGAGTGGGAGGTGCCTCTTATTCCCGTCTCCGTACTTTTATCTTGATTCAGTCGATTGGAGATGTTATCTCATCGAATTCTTGGGAACCCAAACCCCACTGGCTAGTTAATCGAGTCGAGCCGGCAAGGGCTTGGTCGATTAGATAACGAACCATGAGTATCTAGTGTCGTCGAGTGGAGTGTTATCTTCTCGACTAATCGGTATACTCGAGTATTACCACTAGTGTTTATTGAGGATTTTGGGCCCAGTAGGGGGTTTGGATGGTGGACGGAGATTGTAGCTAAGTGGTGCTCTACTGGACTGGTTACTTTGTTTGAAAGTTGACGGAGTGTCAACTACTACTTAATCAAGCTCTGGTGAAGCAATGAGAACTTGGCTCCTGAGAGCCATCCGTATCCTTATACTTTGAAATGATTATTGCTTATTGGATTATTATTTCTTTTGGAAAAACACTTTACACTCGCTCATCTTGAGATTTGCTACTTGAAGTGTTATTGCTCATTTTCTTGACTTGTTATGCTCGCTATTTTCCTATTATGATACTTTCACTTTGAAATAATGGTCAACTTGCTATTTGTAACCTCACTGGGCTTTTAGCTCATTCCACGCTATTTGTTTTCCTTACAGTGAGACTTGTACAGACTAGCGTAGTCTAATTTTTTTTTTGAATTTTGTAATTGTACTGACACTAGTCGCTCGATTAGGGTTGAATGTTTGTAGAACTCCAATTTTTTGATGTATTTGGGGTTGTATGAATGGTTGAGACAGAAATGAATGTAATTGTACTTTCCAAACTTGGTAACTGTTATTTCCGTTATTCTTGAGGTTGTACCCTGTTTGAGTTGAAGTGAGTAAGTGAGTCCTGGCGAGAGCTGGACAGGCGGTCCGTTAAACCCTGGGGTACGCCTTAGGGGGAGGTGGGATCATCACATTTCGGTCCAGGTTTGTCATCGTGGTTGTGTCCGAAATTCTGTTTTGAGTCTACAATTCTGTTGTGTTGGTGATCCGTGTCTTGTCCAGCAAGAAAAACAAAAGAAAAAAATTGGTGGCAACTAGGGTTTCTTGCTCTTCTTGTCGCATCTCAAGTTCACTTTGTATCCTTGAGTCGCAATCTGTCCAGAAATTCTGTGCGTTACTTGTTGCTTGTTTTGGGTCAAATTATAGTATAATTCTTGTTGGGATTGTGTTGTTTGGATCGTGAAAACAACCAAGCAAAAGGCCAAAAAAAAAGGGTGTGTCGCATACCTTGTTATTGAATCGTATTGCTGGAATTTGTTTTGTTTTGTGGCTGCCGAACCTGTTTTGCCCTTGTTTCTTGCGTTTTTGTGTTGTTTCTTGCAAATCTTGGATACCAAAACATAATTTGGGAAGTTCTTGAGCTTCTTGATAAAAAATCTTGAAGTTCTTGGATCCACCAAAGCTGACTTGGTAATTCTTGATTACATATCAAGGGTTTCTTGATACTTGAAAGAACCTTCAACCTTGTCTTGCAAATCTTGAACTTGGATCCAAATTCAAGGAGTTCTTGGGACTGGAATTACGTCTTGAAAGAATCTATTGAGCCAAAAAAAAAAGGAAACAAGAGAATGAAAGAAATGAAAAAGAGAAAAAAGAAAAGAAAAGGAAAGAAAAGACAATCGGCTCTAGCAAGAATTCCAAGTTTCCAAATCTTGATCAACTTCCAAGTTCCCAAATCTGGTTCAAACTCCAAGTTCCGAATCTAATCAATCCAAGAGTCTTAATTCTGAACAATTTGGGACTCCTAAATCTGACCAAAATCTAAAGTTTCCAAACCTTGAGCAACCCCAAGTGTCCAAGTCAGACCAAAACTCTACATTTTCCAAATCTTGATTCTTGAACTTACCTAAATCGGTAGAGCACTTGTGCCAACCCGATTTGGCTGAGTTTTGAGGAGCGGATTGCCCATCATTTGAACACCCCAAGGCCACCCAAAATCCCACAAA